CCTGGAGCCCGCGCACCTCCGCCGCATGCCTCTGGTCCCCGCGCTCAAACTGCGAGATCTCATACCCCGGCAGAAGCCGATACTCGCACTCCAGTTTCAGCGTCTCGACGATCTCGCCCACCCGCTTGATCGCCCACCCGTGGCTCTCGGCCGCGGCCCGCGCGCCCGAGGCGCCGTGCTTCCTCGCGATGGCGGCGTACCCGTCGTCCAGCGCGTTGGCCAGGTGTCCGCTCGTGCGCCCCGTCTCGCCGGAGAGCACGTTGCGCGCTTCCAGCATTGTCACTTTTTTGCCGCGCGCGACGAGCTCGTAGGCGGTTTGGATGCCGGCGATGCCGGTGCCGATTACGCAGACGTCGGTCTCGATGTCGTGCGCCAGTCGGGGGAATTGCGGGTAGGCCGAGTAGGGGAGGCGGTGCACCCAGACGGGGTCTGTTTCGCCGGATGTGTTCATGAATTTCTGCGAGGACATGGTTGCTAGGGTGCGGTGGGTGGGTGGGTTTGCTGGGTTGGGGAGTTGGGTGAGGATGGTGGTGCAAGCGCGGTGGTAGTGGGATTTGGTAGATCTACAGAGTACGGTGTTGAGACGCCAGATGGTGACCCGGCTGAACATCTTGGTCGGTTGGGTTGGGTCGGCGCGAGGTCGGGTGTGTTCCTTGGAATTGATATAGACGGACAGGCATTGGGGCGCATCATCATGACGTGGATTCTTGGCTGATCAGATTAGAGATCAAGTAGTATCCGATAATGGATTGCAGTAAAGTGATGTATGATTTCACAATGACATTCTGCAGACTCCATTCTGCAGACTCCATTCTGCAGACTCCATTCTGCAGTTCTGCAGTTCTTGATTTAGGTTACTTTCGGGCCAGCCTTGCTTTCGGTTGCGGTTCCGACAGTAGTCGTTAACCTTGCAGAGAACCTAGTCTCCACGTCAGCCCATGGCTTCCCAAACATGGTCGTACCGAATGCTAATGAACCGAGGCTGTTCCCTCATTGCGTAGCATGGGTTTCTTGGCATATCATGTTGAGATGTGCCTCTAGTGAAGTGATTACTCCGTCTTGCATATGAATAGATAAGCTTGTCCATTGATGACGAGTATTCTGCATTCCATATCCCTGTAAATTGCCGCGGAAGTGGAAGGTCCAATTGCTCGCAGCCGAGCCCATGGCCATGCCATACATGCCCGCCGGCGGTGTGGAACTAATGGTACTGTGCCCGTGTACATGGCGCAGAGCGACTATGACTGTCAGTCCGTCGCCTTGTGTGTGCACCAAGAATACATCGAGCTGGGCCTTTTCCACTATGGTCTCGAAGTCTTCAGCGAGCAGGACTTTCTCGATGCCGGTCTCACTGTCGAGGACCGCCGCCTGATCGAATACGTGGCCATCCAAGAGGCCGGCCACGCCACCCTGCTGAGCAACATGCTGGGCGAGTCCACCCCCCGACAATGCACGTACAGCTATCCTTTCAAGACCGTCCGCGAGTTCCTCAACTTCAACGTCAAGCTCACCCGCTGGGGCGAGTCCGGCACCTGGGGTTGGCTCAGGCATCTCAACTCGAAGGAGGTCGCGACCATGGTTGTCAAAGCGGAAGCCATTGAGGCCCGGCAGCAGGCCACCTTCCGCCAGCTTCTTGGCCTTCATCCAATGCCCATCTGGTTCGCTCCCGGTATCCCACAATCCTGGCACTGGACCCTGCTGGTCCAGTATATCTCCTCCTGCCCGGAGAACAACATTCGGCTGGTCTGGCAGAATTTCCCCAACTTGTACGTGGTCAACCAGGCCAACCCCAACCGCATCGACCCCAACTCTACCGAGGCAAGGGAAGTTGTCGGCAGCCGCACTGGTGATCCGAGCGACTCGAGAATCCCAGAGGCCGAGTCCTGCACCCACAACAATGTCACGGGCTATAATTGCGGCCCCGCTATCACTCGCGACAAGTACGATCCGCTCACATTCCCCGGCGCAAAGTCGAGCTTACCTGGGACGAGCCAGGCCGTGCTGTGGGGCCGAACAACAGCTATGTCACCTCAACGATGGCGGGTCAGCCCTCGTTCGTGGCTTGGTTGTCGCAGTTGAACTTGACTTATACCGAGTTGACTGTAACAGGACAGAATCAGGGATATACCTATCAGCCGGCAAGCGAGGTCTTTGAGACGGATCCAGCCTTGAACGGCACGGCTTTTATTGCGATCACGGATACGGATCTGTTTGTCACACCGTACAACCTGACCATGCTGAATCCACATATTCGTGCTTTGGGATTGTATCAGGCTGGTTGATGTAATTTCTGAAATATAGTGGACCGTTTGGTCATCTGTTGCAGTCGACAGATTGTTAATGTCATTGTTGTATGAGCCTTCACTCTTGGTATACCTTTGATCAAATGAGTAGCCAGTCCTCCCCTAGTTGTCCCATACCGAGCACCCAGTTCGAGGGCCGGTGCTTGTTGCAATTTTCGGTCTCCCAGTATGACTGCAGAATCTTTCCTGCGTTGACCGTGTTCAAGCACCGGGTGACCGTCCAGAATCTCTCCAAAGCTCGCGTGACAAATTCTCGTTCGATCGCGGAGCGGCACTCAAGACCGGCAACAAAAATGGGCCACAGGATGCACTTGAATAATGTGCCGTCATCTTTGAGTGCTTCGATGGTGGCAAAGAGGTTCTGCACCACCTCTTCTTGAGAAGTGTTTTGATCAAGAAGCATATCTAGGACTCGCTGACCGTAGATGAGAGTACCAAGTTTATAGCACTGGGAAAGAGTCGCTAGATTCCGGGTAGCATGTCTTGTGAATTGCGGGAGATTGGCAGCCCAGGAATGGCTATCGAAATTGCGGACGGATTCCATCATGATTGAAATGCTGCGGATGCAGGCGTAAATGCTCTCAAAAGACCCTTGTCCGGCACTAGCAAGATCTCGTTGCAGAGAGAAAAATTGAACGGCGTTGAGAAGATGCTCCGGACAGCCGAGAAATGACTGTTCGACTGTATCTGGACCCATTTCTACTTCGTCCGCGGAAGGAAATTGTGATAGTAGATTCGGCCGTACGAAAGTCGCGCCCAGCGTCTCGATTCTAGTTTGCATAAGTACCGAAGAAGTTTCAGAGTCGGAGTGTACATACAGGTATATCTGTTTGGTGATAAAGCTCCGTATTTCCTGCACTGTCCGGCCGGGGTCGTTGAATTGTGACAACGACTTGCTCAAAGTCAACAGAGCCTTCGCGCCTTCCAGATGAACATTCCACCGATCGTTCCCTGATTCTACCAGATCAAGGAAGATGAGAAGGAAAATGCTCGCAACAGTTGAATCTGTCCTGCAAGACCCAGGATCACCGATGATTTGGGATAAGCCTTGTATAGCCTGATGTTTGAAAACAAGTGCATCCTGTTGAGCACTATCAATCCAAGGGACCGGTGCTTCGATGCCATTAAAGGTCTGGCCTTCATTTGCTCTGTGCCTTGCTGCGAGAGCAAGAACCGCCTTGAGCAGGAGTGGATCCTTTATGGCAAGTGAGATCAGACTTCTAAAGGGATTTTGATTACTGTCATAGACAATGAAGAGTTTGCATATACGGTCATTATCTTCTCATTGTTAGCTTAGTATTTTGACGAGCTGGGTCACTTACAATAGTCGAGGTAATATTTCGACACTCGGTCCAAGCTCGAAATGGATACGTCCCCTAAGTCGGCAGGCAAATCTCGTTGACCTGAAGTGGTAAGGACAGTGCAAAACAGGAAGTGAATGACAGAGATTACCTTCCCGTCTTAACCTGATCAGCCCCTTCTCATCTCCTGCAGGACTATTTAAGCGATTGTACGACACACCCTGCATCTTGCCTCGAATGGCGACACCCTTGACCCATCTGATGGGTCGTTTCTGGTGACACTCGAATCCACTCTTTTCGCATTTCCTGCAGGGAATACTAGATCTGTCGCATTGTATTCGCCGATGCCGGCAGGTGTAACATGCTTCAATCATCGGATTTTCGACCATGGTCCGCGGCATTTAGCGAAATGTTTTATCTTTCATCACATGATCATCAACTTCGGATGGAGCAGACTCAGATATCGATGTCTAACAACGGGTGATCGCTTACCATATGATGGAAGATTTAAGAAAAGTAAGATTTCATGGACGATGCAAAAGCGGAGGCACGTGCCAAGACTATCACAGTTCTGGAACCATCACGTGTTTATCTACTCCGTATCTAAAAGCATTTCCTAATTAGGAATCCAGCCAAGTATCGTCGCAAGCCTGATAGAAAGACTTTATTTCTTCTGATCCTTCAATTCCCCCCTCTCCTTCACCGTCTTCGCCATGCCCGTCCCAACCTCCGTCCCCAGTTTCTCAAACCCCTCAATAACCC